AACCCTGGAAAATTCCTCGCTTGATATTAACCATTCCGTAGTTCTCATTCCCTACTGCCAACTCAGTTCTCCATTGTTTCATCGCCTCTTCAGTAAAAGATGTAATATTTTTGCTAATGCCAGTTGTTTCTAAGCATTTTATGATCCAACTATGTGGCAGTGAGTCAAATGCCTTTTTGTAATCAATCCAGACCATATTCAAGTTCGTTTTTCTGTTCTTAAAATTTTCTAATATCATTTTATCAATTAGGAGCTGATCTTTTGTGCCCCTGCTCCTTCTTTTGTTGCCTTTTTGCTCTACTGGCAAGATGTTGTTTGTTGTTGTTGTTGTTGTTGTTGTTGTTATTATTCTTTATTCATTAAACATGAAATTCAGTCAACTGAACATTGAAAAATGCATCATAAATACCATTTCAACCAAGTACCTTCTTAAAATATACGATGTTCTAAGTAGCACAGTTTTTTGCAGTTTTACTGGTGTTATTGCAGGAAGCTGCAATTTGTTGATGTATCTTATAAAACTCTTGGACATGGTACCAAGTGCCCCAATAACAACAACAACAACATTATCATCATTATCACCATCATTTAGTGTAAGATCAAAACATGACAAAAGAGAAGTAAACCCAATATAATCTTTTATATTATTACAATGGCATATTTTTGGGAGCTATGAAATGGGAGAAGGGCTCAAGTGCAGCATACTGTTGAGTCAGTCCCAGAGAAATGTAAAATATGCATACCTATAGCGGAGTACCGTACTTCCTCAAGGCAAACTAACATAATAAGGCACTCCTCTTGGGCTTGTGCCACCTGTGCTGCTGCTAAGCTCAAAGTCTACCCTTCTCATAGCATATGTGGATATTGGGCACTCGAATGTGCCCTGTGCCCAACTCTTCCCAAGCTCATGTGAACAGAAATGGCTCAAACACTAAAGCAAAGACCGTTAAAATGTTAATGTCTCCTTCGAGTGGTTTCACCCTAAAGAACATGAGACTCAGTTTGGTATAGAGGTTCAGGCACCAGGCTTGAAACCAGGAGACTGTGAACTCTACTCCTGTCACCTTAGGCATAAAAGCCAGTTAGGTGACTTTGGGCCCAACTCACCTTACAGGGATGTTATTGTGGTAAAAAAACAGGAGGAAGGAGCATTAGGTATATTTGCCTCAAGTTATTTATAAAAATAATGTAGGCACATTTTTAAATGTGTTATATAAATGAAATACATATACACATATAAAACAATGAGAAAGTAAGAGCAGATACAAAGGCAGTGTGAATAGAGGAAAATGAAGAACTCCAGAACCTTCTGTTTGTTTACTATGTACCATTCTTTTTGCCTTATTTCCACCTTGACATAATTCTCCAAGCCCTAGAGAGAGAGAGAGAGTGGGCCTTCTTGGAAAAACCGTGTTTCACATAAAATCAGATCCCACTTATATTGCAACCAGTTAAGGGAAAACCAACTCCCATCCCCTCCTTAAGGGAGCACAAACCACACCCAGATAAATATTGCCAAGTTATGTTCTCCTCAGCGAAAAGAAAGATTTCAGGCAGGCCAGGACTCTGCCTTCAGGACACAGTGTGAGTATTTTGCAAAGGATGTAGGAATGAAGACACACTTGGCGGACACTGGCTTTTCTCCTCCCCTCAGCCTTTGGCAGTAGCCTCTCTCTTAGGCCAAGCCTTTAAAAAAGCATTTGGGATTAATCTGCAGTTTCAGCAGTGAGAGCACAGGAAGTTACCCCCACCCACCCCATCTCACATCACAGGCCATAGGAAATACTCTTGAGACATCTGGATTATTTGCACATCTGGATACACACACAGAAAGACACACTAACAATAGCAGCTGTGCTAAAAACTAGGCCTTCTGAGGGATCTCAACTGATGAAACGTTACATCCATTCACTTCTCAATTGTAATTTTTTTTTTGAAGGAAGTATTCTTTTTATAAAGGAATACATAAAATAGTATAACCATAGAAGGAAGAAATCGCTCTGATTCCTGCTCATCTGCTATCCTCTCTCCATTGAGATTCAAGGCTACACAGAATAATTTTAATAGTCATGTTCAGAAATTTAGGAGGATGTATCTATGGCTCTATAAATGCCAGCGTTGTCCAAAGACATTTCTGTGGTCATGTGGCCAGCATGGCTATATGCCAAAATCATGCAAAATGCTGTTACTTTCCCACTGAAATAGTATCTACTAACATTTGCATGTTTTCAAACTGCTAGGTGGGCAGGAGTTGGGGCAAGTAACAGGAGCCCAGCCCATCACGTGGACTTGAGTCTTGAACCTGGATTGCCAGATGATAAATGGGCAATCTAAACCACTGATGGGCACCTAAACCACCGAGCCACCACAATTAAGTGTGTGTGTGTGTGTGTGTGTGTGTGTGTGTGTGTGTGTGTGTATTGACACCTGACTCCTGACAGCTGAATACGAAAAGGGTGCTCTGGCAATGAAGAGCTTTTCTTCTAATTCTATAAACAATACGTAACAATGTATTTCCAAATGCCATTTTCATCCCTTAGTTTGCTACTAAATAACAAATACACTGAAGAAGGGTGGGATCATTCCAATATATTATCTATTT